TCCTTCAACACAGAGCATCTTCAGAAGACAAGTTGATAAAATAAATGCAAAAAATCTGTATTGTTCCATACGAGTCTGTATTGAACTTAAAACACTGTTCGCAGGTACATGTATTGTTGCACATATACAGTATATTGGAAAAATAAATATGAAGGTCAATTATATTATAAAACGTGAGGAAAAGCTCTCCTTTTTAATTTAATTGGCACATTTTTAATTGAATTTATTTATTGGTCCATTTAAATATTTCTGCTTTTTTTCTAGTTATGTCAGTGTTGGTCCTTCATACTGCAGAACTTAGACGAGGTAATTCAATGTCTGAATCAGGTGTGTTTTTCCCTGCTACAACACACCTGATTAAATATCTGAATCAGGTGTGTTGTGGCAGGGAAAAACATAAAACCTGTAGGGCTGCGGCCCTCGAGGACCAGGATTGCCCACCCCTGTTACAGATTGTATTTTTCACAGCTGTTAATTTATTCTTTGGMATTCCACTAGATGTCAGCACCGTGATACATAACTGTGCTTGTTCCTAGAAGTTTACAAAAGGATCATTGGAATCAATTGACAACAACTACATCTCAATCAGTAGTGAAAATGCAGTTTAATTTAGATACATTTACACTACAATAATTATCAAAGGACTCTTAGATAAATCAAAATTCATCTTATTTTACTGATAAAAAAATGTTGAATTCATGAACACCTGTCACACATTTTTTATCTGTTTGCCTTGAGGGCCTGCGATGAGCATGTTCACAGTCCAGTATTAAGGGGAAATATGACTGAATAATCTCCTTCAGAACATCCATAATGGCATCATCATCCGGAACATCAGAAAATCAAGGATTTTTTTTTTTTGGTGAAGCAGAGAAAATACTCAAATGATGTTTCAGCTTGTCAAAGTGTTTGGTTTGAGATTTCAAAGAAAAACAAGTTTTGAGGTGGACATAATGTTGTACAATGAGTTATCACTGTGTGAACACACTCTGACTGTTGATTGAGTTTGCACTCTGGCAGTAACTCCTGCATCTTCTGCCTGAACTCCACTGATGGTCAGAGTGAAGTCAGTCCCAGATCCACTGCCTGAGAAATGGTCTGGTGTCCCTGACGTACATTGGTTGGTGAAGTAAATCACCAACCAATCACCAATTATTTTTGTAAATAATAAATTTGTTAATTATTGGAGTCCTTGTGATGCAGGGGTGGGCAGTCCTGCATGTTTTACTTGTTTTCCTGCTCCAACAGCAAATTCTATGGGATAAGATAACTGTCAGAATTATTGTATGTGTAAGAGTCTAAATTTGTACATGTAAGTCTATAAACATACATAAATTTGTTACAACTTTGCCACATTACAAGTACGAATCAAATTTACAAGTATGAATGAAATTGACAAGTACAAATCAAATTTACAAGTATGAATCAAATTTACAAGTATGAATCAAATGTACAAATATGAATCAAATTTGCAAATATGAATCAAATTTGCAAATATGAATCAAATTTG